AGTTCCTGGGATAGAGGATGCTTGTTTTCCTGTCCCGTCATCAGAGGCATCAGTCTGTTTACCAGTAAATAAAAATTATCTCAACATTGTGGAATCACCTTCCAGCAATAGTATTTCCGAACCAATACAATATTGAAACCTCAAGAGGTTATTCCTTCTCAAAAGGCCGATAACGCACTTGAAATTCCCCTGGTATTGCAATTGCTCATGGGCGGCGGTAATCACTCTCCATCAGATGAGCCGCAAGCTCGTTTGCTCCCTATATTATAAAAAGAAGACAACCACATTGCGAAATCACCATCCAGCAATGGTATTTCCGAACCAATAGAATATTGAACCCTCAAGAAAAGAGGTTATTCCTTCTCAAAAGTTCGCCAACGTACTTGTAATTCCCCTGGTATTGCAATTGCTCATGGGCGGCGGTAATCACTCTCCATCAGGTGAGCCGCAAGCTTGTTTGCTCTCTATATTATAAAAAGAAGACAACCACATTGTGGAATCATTTTCCAGCAATGGTATTTTCGAACCGATATGATATTGAAACTTCAAGAAAAGAGCTATTCCTTCTCAAAAGTCCGGCAACGCACTTGAAATTCCCCTGGTATTGCAATTGCTCACGGGCGGCAGTAATCTCTCTCCATCAGGTGAGCCGCAAGCTTGTTTGCTCTCTATTTTATAAAAAGAAGACAACTACATTGCGAAATCGCCATCCAGAAATGAATGGTATTTTCGAACCAATAGAATATTGAACCTTCAAGAAAAGACGTTATTCCTTCTGAAAAGTTCGCCAACGTACTTGCAATACCTGGTATTGCGGATGCTCATGGGCGACAGTAATCACTTACCATCAGGTGAGCCGCAAACTCGTTTATTATGCCTCAAAAAAAGTTATATAAATTTTGGAGCAGGTTGCTCCAAAATTTGATGGTAAGTGATTACTGTCGCCCATGAGCATCCGCAATACTAGGGGAATAGTAAGTACGTTGCCGACCTTTTGAGAAGGAATAGCTCTTTTCTTTGGGATTTCAAACATAGCGATGTGTACAAGTAATTAAATAACCCGCGAAACAGTTCAAATTATTGGTCTCGTTAATTATTTGGATCTCATTTAGATTACCCGTTGCTTAGCTGTTCATTTCGTATAAATTACATTCAAAAGCTCTGTCGCCACAGCGTACGTAATCCAACTGAGAGATAAGTGAATGTGACTCGACATAATTAATGCTGTTTAATTATTTATACAACTGTATAATTTTACGGGACGCTAACAGTCCGGGTTACTCGTCTTTAATGTAATATGAAGACGCTTCTGGTTTGTCAGACGTATTCGAATAAGGCACTCTAAGAGTATTGTGCGTGATACGCAATTTCCAAAATCCTATATTGCGTTTTCAAGTACCTTCTTACCAAAAATGTTATATATTCGTGTTTTAAATTTATGTTTCATATAAATATCTGTGTTGAAATAAAATATTGAATATTTTAATAAATAAAATTGTTTCATAAATGTAATTATATTTATTACTAGCTATTCGCCCCGGCTTTGGCCAGGTGTACACGTATTATATATATAAACCTTCCTCTTGAATCACTCTATCTATTAAAATAACTGCTTCAAAATCCGTTGCGTAGTTTTAAAGATTTAAGCATAAGGGATGGACAGACAGCGACAGCGACTTTGTTTTATACTACGTAATCTAATCTACGTTTTAATCTAATTAATCTATTTAAGATCTATTTCTGATGGCCATTAGTCCTTTCAACGTTAAAATGTTATTAGTTAAGATATCTAAAAAATTGATAAGTGAAATATGTTTTAGAATAAAATCGTATTATTTTTTTGTGTAAAAGATTATAACTTTTTTTTTTAAAAAAAAAAAAGTTATAATCTTATCGTAAAAGATTATTAGTATTAATATTATGTATTAGTATTATATTTATCTTTATGTATATATTTATATATTATTATATGTATATATTTATTTGCATTTCATATATATTATATAATATTTATTAGTAATCTTGTGATTATTTTTTGACATATCTGCCCCACAACGCTTTCTGTACACCTAAATGTTAGCTGGTGGAGAATGCCATACGGCATTAAGCTCGCCTTTGTACAAGTTATATTGTGCATTAAAGAATAAATAAATAAAATAAAGAATAAAAAAATATGGGTTGAGTTCCAAAAACTCACAATATATTTTCTATTGTCTGTAGAAAATCAATTCAATCTCTACAGACAATGAAAAAAAAACACAAAAAAGAATAAATCTATGGATAGTCAAAAATATAACATTATGCGCAAAATCAACCAGAAATGTATCACGCACTAATACTGGCTTAACTCAAAAATTACAAATTTTGGAAAGTCCACTTTGTAACTGTGGAAATAAAGTCCAATATCATTAATTTTTTAAATTTCTGTATTACACCACTATTGTACTAGATATGCGGTATATTTAGAATAGAATAGAATAGAAAATCATTTATTCAAATAAACTTAATTTAAGCACTTTGAATACTCAAAAATTTTTTTTAATCTACCGCTCATTCGAAAATCACAAGAATCCGGCTCGAAGGACCAAAGAATGTGGGGGTTTAAGCCCACAGTTCCGTGATAATGCTATTGATTGATTGATGAGGGGTTTTTGTTAAAAAAAACCGCCTCGGTTGAATGCTACTCGAATACTGATTTTTATTACTAAAATAAATATAATGAGGTGAAATATATAGAAGTGAAATTGCATGTGTAGGTAACAGTAAGCAGGCATGTGCGGTTGCCCGTACAGCTGTCTAATCACAAGAAGAATAAGCAGGAAACGTGTGTTGCTCTTTTAAACAATCCTTGTAAGTTCACATTTTACAAGTCGAAACGTGTGAATACAAACTACCAACCAGCACTAATTTAGGCTCAAATATAAAAACACAATAAGATTAAATCAGTCGTATATTCTCTCTCTAACGATATTCATGATGTCATAACGACGAATATTGCTGAATTGTCTGTATTTTTTTGCTCTGCAATAAATGTATCAATTAAAATAACATCGCGGACAATAAAATCCACCGTTACATTCATATAGTTTAAATATCTGCTCTTCAACCTACTTTCATTTACTAACCATTTGTCCATTTGACGAGGAAGGCTTTTATATAACTCAAAGGTGACTGACATAGTGATCTATCAACGCACAGCCTAAACCACTGGACGGAATTATAGGATATGCAATGCACTATCTCAAAATCAAACTCAGGATCTCAAACTTAATGCTCAAATCACATGAAAATAAAAAACAAGAGCCATATAAATATTTGGTAATTATTCCTTAGTTTGAAGTTTAAATATAATAATAATAATAATAATAATAAACTCTTTATTGTGCACATAGAAGAAATACAATAAGAAAAAGAAAAACAATAAATAGAAAATTATGAACAAAAGGCGGTCTTATCGCTATAAGCAATTTCTTACAGACAACCTGCAAGATAGGACTAACATACACAGAAGAGGTAGATGGCACACACAAGACACTAGAATTATCAAACTAATTAATAGACATACATATATATATATATATATAAATAAATATACATACATATATTCAATATATTGGAAGATTTCAGAGTTAAATATGCAAAAAAAAAAAAATTTGCTATAGGGACAGATAATGAGACCTTAGACGATTTTTAAATATTGTATGAGATTGAGCGGATCGAATGGAGAGTGGTAGAGAGTTCCAAAGGCGAATGGCTAGGACAGTGAAAGAGTTGGAATAATATGTAGAGGAGTGAGCATATTTTTACATGTGATAATTTTATCACATGTAAAAATATGTAATGTATTCTTATCGCTGACTGAAGTGTTTCTGTTTCTTAATATTAACATCTGGTCTGGATCTGGCTGAAATTTGGCATGCAAGTGGATGTTATGATGTAGGCATCCGTTAAGAAAGGATTTCCGTAAATTCCACCCCTAAGGGGATAAATTAACGCGAGCGAAGCCGCGTGCAAAAGCAAGTTATTAATAAATGAATTGCGTAGTTGTTCTAAACATTTAATATATGAGACTACTATTTTACCTCAAAGGCTTTACGGAAGTAAGAAATATGCTAATGATTTACTATACTGTAATATATGTAGGTGTATACATGAATATCTATATAAATTATGTAATACTACACACTTTGCTTTGTCTGAAATAACTATACTTTACTTTAAAATGATATAAGTTGTTAAAAAGACGTAATCTAATATTGGGAAATACTACAGTAGGATTTTGTATCCGGCTCGAAGGACCATTAATGTAGGGTCCTAAATTAAGGACTTTCAAAATTAAAAGGTTGATTTGTGGACTGTAAATTAGATGTAATTGTTTAAATATAAAAATACAGAGGATGATAGAATATTGTGCGCGCGTGTAGTCTTCGGTGGCGAGATCAGAAGTGCGGGCCGGTCTGTCTGGTGCTGTTCGCACCCCCCTCGAGCCGCGCCTCGCAGTACTGAGCCGATGATGTCGGAACAATATCTCTTTACAATTACAATTTAATATTTTATTGAAGGTATTTTTTTTAGCGGTGAAAATTGTTATTAGTGATCTACATGGTTACGTTTACGGATGATTATCTTAGTGTCTCTTAGACTCTAGCTCATATTATCTTAGCTTTCTTTCATTCCAAATTGTATTAATAAAAAATATATTTAGATTTAGATGTAACAGCGTCTAAAAGAACCGAAACTATTTTTTAGGAATTTGTAGAATCAATAGTTAAAAATAGTACGAGATTTTTCCTTTATCTTCTCGAACATAAGTTGAAATACAAAAGGAATTTGTGAATTTTTTATTATCGTAAGAACACGAGATAGACCTATAGTAAAGATTCAAGAATTTACTTCTTATTTCGGAGCATATTCTTGTGGGATTAGAACGGTATTTATTTTAGTGAGTCAAAATCTGTTTATTTCACTTTTATTAACCTTCTTCCCTTTCTTTGTTTCAGATTAAATTACAATGGAGGAGAAAATCACGAAAATAATATTTATCCTGATAACTTTGGCCCTAGTGAATGAAATGTCAATTAACGTTTTAGCAAAGGAGAATAACAAACGGAGATTTCGAGATAAAACTGGGGGATTTCGAAAGAATATCTGTGACGTCACAGACCGCGAATCCAAAGTTCATTGCTATTGTGAAAATTCCAGAGAACTGAAGAATGCGACAAAAGCAGAATGTTGGGTATTCAATAGTGGCATTTCAAAGGACGATGTAATCTGGCAAAGTTTTGCCTCCCAGCCGACTTTAAAAACATTATCGTTCAGCATCAGAGTGGATGGCACATTGAGTTATATACCATCGAAAGCGTTACAATACTTAAAAGATCTCAGATCTATTACCATTAGATACGCAGCTATAACTGATATCACTCCTTACGCTTTCAATAATTTAACAAATTTAACTGAAATAATTTTACCTCAAAACGAAATAGAATCTTTTCATCAGCACGCCTTTGCTCATTTACCAAATTTAACTCTGATAAATCTAGAAGATAATATGATTACAGAAATTGGTACAGAAGTGTTTTACGATTTGCCGGAGCTACAGAGGATTGTGTTTACAAAGAACAACATATCGTCAATAGCAAACGGCGCATTTCAGTACATGTACAAGCTATTAGATTTGTTCTTGAATAGAAACAACATATTCCATATGAACCGGCACACCTTTGATGGATTAGCAAACTTACGGAAATTGGATCTTCGACAAAATCACATTCACAATTTAACCGAATTCACGTTTGCCGAGTTGTGGAATTTACAGGAACTGTTATTAGGAAAAAACAACTTGAAATTCGTTTCTGAGAGAGCCTTCGACGGTTTATCCCAACTCAAAAAGTTATTACTGGATGACAATAAATTAGTTACGCTACCTTCAGGTTTATTTGCCGGCGTGAGGGGCTTAATCTCCCTGGATTTACGTTCCAATGAACTATATACATTAACTTTGGATAACATCAGACCCATATTGGACAATCTAAAGTCACAAAACAGTAATTTGTTACTTCAAGGTAATTAATATTTAATACCTTCTCGTACAATACTTGAACAAGTTTTAGTTTAAAATGAACGTTGAATACTAAACGTGTTGATACAGATTCATCATTATTATCTTCAACATTGGTACTTGCGAAGTTTGTTCCTTTATTAATCCTAAGGGCATTGCAGTCGTAAAAGTTTCAGTCAAAAGTATAAAGGGTTGTATAAACCGTTTATCTTAAAATAAGTTAAGAATTTAGTTTATTCATTTGGGAGTATCAAGTTTCCTAAAAATATATTGTTTGAAATTGAATTGTAACATAACAATAATATCACTGTGAATATAATAACAAATAAAGAAATCGTCATCACTGTTAAAATCGCATACGGGATAGTCCGAAGCATTGTCAATGGTCGACATTATGGTGAATGTAACACGGATGTACCCTAGTTTCATTGAACATATTTATTTATAACCAATGTAGTAGGGGACAACCCTACGACAGTGTCTCGAAGCATTTTTGTTTTGATATCTTCGTTTCCTTCATCAGAAATTAATATAAATTAACACATAAAGGTTTGAACTCACGACCTTTTCAGTGTAAGTCAGAGAGTAAACCACTACGCCACAATTTCCTCGGATAAATATAATGTATATTTCTAATATTACTAATGATTTTTTTATTATTTCCGCAGAAAACAATTTTGTATGCGACTGCAGATTAAAATGGATCCACTCGCTACGCAACGAAACGCAAAGTCAGAACACAATACTGGCTCTAGATAATATCACGTGTACCATGGACCCCAATCTAGTCAGCTCCACTTACACCAAAACATTTCATGTCATAGAAAGTAAAAAGGAACAAAACGACGAGATACTGCAAGCAGATATCATTACTGGACCGTTAAAAGAGAAGATAAACGTAACGGATAAAGAAAACATGTACAAGAATAAATATTCAGACAGTAGAAAAGTGCCCACAAAGGTATCCTTAACGAGAACTTTCTTCAATATACCGCCAGAGAATTTGCCTTGTCCCAGAGAACCAATCAAGACTACAGAACCGCCACAAATTATAATGGATCCAGTCATGCCACTGCAGAATAAAATAAAAACGAATAGACATCAAGAGATGAACTCTGCTAACAGATTGTTTCGGATAGCAATTGTTTTCTTAGTTCCTGTTGTGTGCACTCTCGTGTAGTCAATTGCGTGAAATTAGTGATTATATTTAAGTATGGTACAGACTATAAAGCCACTAGTATAAAGATTGTACTGTAACAAATTAATATGCACTTAAACGTTTATGCAAAAGGAAATTGTGATTATTATTATCATTTCAATGTCGTATCGTAATATTAATGTTAGCTAGATTAATGTTGTAAAATAATATCATCTTACAAAACTATACAGAATCATTGGTAAGCTGTTGCTTTTCCTAACATCAAACTTAAATTAATATTGTATATAGTGACGTCATTTCTTTCATATTTATTTATAACTGCTGTTTCCGCGACTTCGTCCGCGTGGAATTTAACTTTAATTTTCTAAAATAGAAGTAGTCTAAGTTACTCCTCACTACATCGACTACCTGCCAAAAAAAGTCCCGTCAAAATCGGTCCATCCATTTCAGAGATTACCCGGAACAAACAGGCCGACAGACAGACAGACAAAAATTGTAAAAAATGTTATTTTGGTGTATGTACCGTATTTATATTCATATGCATGTAGTAAAAAACAGTTATTTCAATGTTACAAACAGACACTCCAATTTTATTTATATGTATAGATAACGACCCGTCCCGGTTTCACACGGATGCATTCTTGAATTTCTCAGCTTGTTATACACTATAACACGCATGTATTATACATAAACCTTCCTCTTGAATCACTCTCTCTATTGCTGAAAACTGCATTAAAATACGTTGCATAATTTGAAAGATATAAATGAACAGACAGCGGCACCGATTTTATTTTATACTATGTAAATGTAATAAACTAATCTATACATCTATACATATAAATAAAATCGGAGTGTCTGTTTGTAATATTGAAATAACCGTTTTATACTACGTCCATATACGCGGACGAAGTCGCGGATACAGCTAGTTATTAATATAACAAGGTTTATATTTTAAACTAGCTGAATTTAACTTTATTTTTCTAAAATAAAAGTAGCCTATGTTACTCCTTATTACATCAGCTACCTGCCAACAAAAGTCCATCAAAATCGGTCCAGCCATTTCATCGAATAGCCGGAACAAACAGACGGACAGACAGACAAAAATTGTAAAAAAAATATTTTTGTGTATGTACCGTATTTATATTCATATGCATGTAGTAAAAAACGATTATTTCAATATTACAAACAGACACTCCAATTTTATTTATATGCATAGATAATTATTTATATTTTTATTTCTTAATTTTATTTATTTACGTCAGAAAGGTCACGTTTATTTATGAAAATAGACAAATAAACGACATAATGTACAGTCTATCCTACATAACTGCAAAGAAATACATGTAACTCAAGTCCTTAATCTTAACAATCTTCATTATAATCAAAGACAGATTGATATAAATATTCTGCTCTAAGTTCCTGAATATATGCCATTTATTCCTAAGACCTAATCCCCCAATATATCAGGTGTCACTTGAATCCTACAGGGGATAAAATGTCTAATATTAATTTCTTCTTAAATATACAACCAGCAGACTCGATCACACGTAGCTGTGAAGATTCTTGAATAAAATAATATTGCGATTACAAATTGAGATGTAAGCTATCCTATCTTTCAAGTTGGATCAATTGTACACAATGCGCAAATCAAATTTGCAATCGGTTCAGCAGTTTAGGAGTCGCGTACAAACAACTTGACATGTAATTTTTATATATAGATAAGTGACATGCCAAAAAATCCTATTACATAGATTAGTGCGTAGGTTTTTATAGGTTTATGTCTTCTTTTAAGTAACTGAAAGAAATTGTGTAATAATTAATTCAAAACTCACCTGACCTTTAACATCACTATGCTATTACTTTTATTATTTTTTACCTTTCTACTATCTTTATTTATTTTATTGTATTATAATTCATTGTAAATATTATAATTAAATAATTACATTCGTTTATTTATACTGACATTTCTTTATTAATTGTAAAAAATGAATTAAATTTTAAATATATGAAATTTAGAAACAGAACTGAATGAAATGTACAAATAATGATTTCGTTACGTTTTTTTAGAATTAATAGTGTAATGTATAAACATTATGTAATATATGCGTATAATTATTAAAAATCATAAAAAGTTTTATTTTAATTGATTTCCGTCAGTTTACCCATGATCATGGCGGTTAAAATACTATATGTATATTATTAACCGGGTCTTAACACGAATAATTTTATGGCAAATAAAGGTATTTACCTCTCTCGACGTTTCGACTAGGCTGCACTAGCCGTGGTCACGAGCTGACTGGAGTAATAGCGTCAATATAGATAGATGACAGCAGTTTTTTCATCTACCATCACTTGATTGTTCAAATACTGCATTAAAATCGGGTACTAAAAATAAACGTGGTAACATCCTGTGATTTTTTTTTATATTGGGTGGTTTGGGCTTTTGTCAGGTGCGATGACCTGTAACACTGCGACCTGTATAGATCTATTCTGCTCGCCCTTATTCAAAGTTCGCTTCCTAGACCCGTAAAGGACTTGTCCTTTACGGGTCTAGGAAGCTCCTAAGAATATCCTTCAATTCTTGAATTGAAGGATATTCTTAGGAGCTATGGTTTTTATCTCCTCAGGATATAGTATATACTTTGCAAATGAGATATTTCGTGATTTTTACTAATTATACGTATAAATTGACAGCGTCAGATTAAAAACGGCATATTCTATAATGGACTATAATAAAGAAATTGTGCTCACGATTTTAATCAAAAGTAGGTAGTCATAGGCACTTCAGGACTGCTTTCTTTGTGGTGAATATGTGTAGTGTAACATACTCAAATTTGCCGAGCATTTTTGTATTGACACGTTAAACGCCATGTACAGGTGACCTCATAATTTCTGGATCTTTGCGCCGCGTAGGTCACCCGTGACCTCACTTTGGAGATGTGTTGAGCGCCGGCGCGTGGTTTTTTCATACATTTGTAGTATTAAAATGATCGGAGAGGCGCTCAACAACAAAACTCACTCATGACCACGCGGCGCACGCGAATAAACAACAATACTCACTCATGAACAATACTCACTCCTCGCGGCGCACGCGAATAAACAACAATACTCACTCATGAACAATACTCACTCCTCGCGGCGCACGCGAATAAACAACAATACTCACTCCTCGCGGCGCACGCGAATAAACAACAATACTCACTCATGAACAATACTCACTCCTCGCGGCGCACGCGAATAAATATGTTTTTGTCCCACAGCGCCACGGTGAGCGCTGGTGATCGAAATGAATTTTCTTTTTTTTTCCTGTAAAATTTCAATCCCAAATTAGAAAATAAATACGTTTAATGTTTACCGATGTCATAAAAGGATTTTTTTTTTCATACAAAAAAAAGTATTTTTGTCATTTTTGCAATGGCGTTTAACTTGTCTCACAGATTAATTTTGTTTCCATGACAGGAAACAAAAAAAAAATTTTTTGGAAAAGAATCGAACTGATGTATCCATAAATTGGTATATTTTAAATTAACATTTAAACCAAAATAGCTTATTAAATTTAATATGTATAAATACTCATATAAAAATAATTGCTTCATCATAATTCAAATAATTTCCAGCACAGTGTAATAAAAATATTCTTTCTTACAATGTTGAGAGTAGACTTATTTGTTTATATATTTCCTTAAATTCTTTTAAACCACAATAGTTTATTAAATTTAATATGTAAAAATACTCATATAAAAATAATTGCTCCAACATAATTCAAATATTTTCAGCACAGTGTAATAAAAATATCCTTTCTTCCAATGTTGAGTGTAGATTTATTTGTTTATATATTTCCTTAAATTCTTTTAAACCACAATAGTTTATTAAATGTACCATGTATAAATACTCATATAAAAGTAATTGCTCCAACATAATTCAAATCATTTCAGCACAGTGTAATAAAAATATTCTTTCATCCAATGTTTAGTGTGTGTTTAGTGATTTATTTATTTACATTTCCTTAAATTCTTAAACTCACACATTTATGTACAATTAAGTATTTATTATAAAACGTTGTATAGGATATTTGGACAAGGTGTTTTGTATGGATAAATTAATGAAATTAAATGTAATTTTTTATTTAATGTTGTTTCATTCGCTATTACCAAGGAACATCTTTCTAAAATATGGTCGAGCACAGTGATGGCTGGCTCATCCGTCATACTCCTGAACGAGTGCTGCTTGTAGGGACTGGTCTGCTCTTATTACTACGACTGATTTAATCTTATTGTATATTTATATTTGACCCAAAAACTAGTGCTGGTTGGTAGTTTGCATTCACACGTTTCGACTTGTAAATGTAAACTTACAAGGATTATTTAAAAGAGCAACACACAAGTTTCTTGCTCGTTCTTCTTGTGATGACAAAGCTTTCCGAACGAGCGGTAGATGAAAAAAATTGTTATGACTATTCAAAAGTGCTTAAATTAAGTTTATTTGAATAAATGATTTTCTATTCTATTCTATGAACTATTGACTACTACTGGCTATTACTGATTTAATCTTATTTTGTATTTAATATTTGACCATAATAAATTAGTGCTAATAGGTTAGTACCCATAATACAAGCTCTATTTAGCTTGGGACTAAATGACGCTGTGTAAATTATTATTATTATTATTATGTACATGTTTATAAACAAAAGTTTTGAATTACCATTAAAAAGGCCGTTGGTTAGTCATATCAGTTATAAAAAAATGTATATAATAATAATAATAATAATAATTTGGAAACAGGAAAAAGTTTATATAATACCCATAGTCCTCTCATCTACAGGTATCATACCCAAACACCTACATCATAGCCGGAAACAATTAGATATACAAAAAACACTTTACATCACCCTTCAAAAGGCTGCCATCTTAAATACCTGTCGTACAGTCCGAAAATTTCTCGAAATAGATGAAAATGATATAACACCAGTCACACCAGGCACACAATAAGTACACACACACTCACACATACATACACGCGCACACACACATACACACACTCTGCACTTACTTGGTTTCGGCCCGTAAGTGTGGAGAAAACCAGCAAAAGCTGAGAAAAAGTAAATAAATAATAATAATAATAAGAACCCCGGCCGACTGTGCTTCTGCCGGGGGTATGTTGCCATCTCCTCTCCTTAAGAGGGGAGATGAGAATATTTGGATAAAAATAATAATAATTTCAGGACAATTCACACAGCACTATCTAGACCCAAGTTACGCTACCTAAAGCTTATGCTAGACAACTGATATTTTTTTTTTCGTAAATACATACATCATATATATAAAATTCTCGTGTCACAGTTTTCGTTCCCATACTTCTCCGAAACGGCTTGACCGA